CGCTCGTCTGAGGCGCCCGGCGACTTGGAGGCCCTGAAAGATCTCTCCCTGTTCGACACGCCACATCGAGGCTTCCCGGACCCCGGGATGCTGGATGTCGAGTACTCAGAGGACAGCCAGGAGGAGAGGGGTGGAGCCAGCCCGGAACAGGAGACCAATCAGCCACCTTTGAAAGGGGGGGGCAGCTTCAATCGATCAGAGGCTGAGGATGGTCCAGAGAGGGGGCCGACAGAGAGCAGCGCGGCCCCGGACGTGGGGGAGGAGGGTGGGGCCAAGAGACCGACGGAGGTGGCGCCACAGGAATCAGTGAGTTCAGGGCGTGAGCTCATGTGATAACTGTCTCCATGGAGACCAGTCTGCAGCCTGTCATTGTTCTCCCTACAGACGCAGAGCAGCTCCACCTCTCCACCCCTGAGACCCGAGACCAGCTCAGAGCCAGGCCACACCCCCAGCAGCCCCACAGCAAACCCAGGTAAGCACCTCCGTCAGGTCAGGTCAGGTCAGGTCAGCACACCTCCGTCAGGTCACCACCTCCGTCAGGTCGCAGCTTCACTCCAGTTCAGATAAACTTTAGCAAACGTGTCTGAAGAGCCTCAGAGGTAACTTGTCCTCCACATGCAGCTCCACCCCTGCTGGTGTCTCTTGGAAACCCCGTAGAAGCGACCACAGTGAAACCCGCCACTCCAGCTGCTCCTGAACCTACCAGCAGACCCCCGTCAGGTGAGTTTATGACTAAAAAATGTTTGTTTAGATCAACATTTGATCTTTTTTAATATTTTTATTCATGTCAGCCAGAGGAGTCGCCCCCTGCTGGTCACTGTAGATAGTTCACGTTAAACCAGAGCGGGGCGTGTAGTTACTGCCCAGGAGAAACTTTGTGGTGGGTGGAGGTGACTCATTTTAATAAGTGGGTGGTGTTCACCTGAGACAGTGTGAAGGTCAAAGTTCAGTTTAGAGACAAACAGGTGACCTCAGAGAGACCAGGTGAGGAAGCAGGTAAATGAAAGGAAGAATTTAACTTTCATTTCTCGCACAGACGCTGTGAAGCTGCTTCAGTCTGCAGCCGGAACTCCACCTTCCACCACCCACCTGACTGTGACCTCTGACCTTACTACCCCAACCTTGTCAGCAGCCAGCTTTAACGCTACGACGGCGACTGAGTCAGCAGGTAAGCTCAACGGGTTTAATGCTTTCTGTGGCTTCACGCCGACTTCACGCCGTCTCTTTAAACCTCCTCTCACTTTTCCAGCTTCAGCGTCACAGGTGGGAGGGTCAAACCGCGGTCCGGTGGCCGTCGTGGGCCCCGACAGGAGCCTGTCTCTCCCGGTGAGCCGCTTGCTGCTCAACGGCAGCGGCAGCAGTGACGACAGCGGCATCGTCAGCTACCGCTGGGAGGCGGTCAGGTAAGTCTGGAGCCTCTTTTCGTGTTTCTGTGACTGAAAGATCAAATTTGTTCGGTCGGGTTTCGTGTTTTCCAGCGGGCCTCCCGGGCTGAGGCTGGACGACGCCGATCAGCCCGTCGCCACGGCCTCAGGGGTTCGGGCGGGGCGCTACACCTTCAGACTGACCGTCGCTGACCAGGAGGGGGCGACAGACAGCGCCTCGCTGACCGTCAAAGTCCCAGAAGGTGAGCGACTCGGTGTTATTCATGGAAGGCGGAGCTCTTCCTGTCAGACTCGTTTAAATCAAACGCGCTGATCTAAGGTCGTCTGCTTCCTCCAAACTCCAGCCAGTAGCTTTCTTCCGGTCGCCCACGCCAGCGGCAGCCACTCGCTCACTCTGCCCAACAACTCTCTGGTCCTCAGAGGTTCGGTGACCAACGCCGATCAGACCGCGGTCCACTTCCTGTGGATCCGAGACAGCCAGAGTCCTGCTGCTGGGGTGAGTTCGGACCGGCGCCGTGACGGTTTACGTAAGAATGAGTGTGACGCTTCAAATCAGTGACGGCTGATCGACCTCACGCTGTGTGTGTGATGGAGTGACCTTTGACCTTTGCTTGTTCCAGGACGTACTGTATGGCTCGGATACTCAGCCCTCGCTCTACCTCGCCAACCTGGTCGAAGGCACCTACCTGTTCCAGCTGAAGGTGACCAACGCGCAGGGGCGCTCCGGCTCCGCCACGGCCACTGTGGAGGTGCGACCAGGTGAGGCTGGAAGCTCGCCGTTCGTCCCGTTTTGTGTTACGCGGGCTTGTGCCGACATGGATGTGTTGTCCCACGTGTCTGCAGAGCCCGGCGGCGGCGAGCAGGTGGAGCTGGAGATGCTGGTGTCGGTGTCTCAGGTGAGCGTGGCTCAGAGAGACACGGTGGTCCGACAGCTCGCCGCTCTGATCCACGTCCTTGACAGCGACCTCCACGTGCGAGCGCTGCAGGGACACTCCCACATCAGGTACCTGCACGCACCGCGGACTTGCCACTCCACGTGCCGGCTCGCCATAACCTGTGATTCTCTGCTTGCAGCACCGTGTTGCGGTTCTCCGTGCACGGCGCCTCGGGGCCCCTCTCTGCCTCCCGATTGGTCGGCGTGCTGCGCAGCCAGCTGCTCTTCGAGAAAAGCGACTACCTGCTGTTCAGAGTCCTGAGGGTGGACACCGTCTGTGAGTCCAGCCGGGGCGCGCCTCACCTGTGACACCTGTGCACTCACAAAGGGGCGGGGTTTGTCTGGTTTAACACGCCGTTTTTCCCTCAGTGTGTCTGCTCAGCTGTTCGGGGCGTGGTCAGTGCGATCCAATCACCAAGCAGTGTGCCTGCGACCCCTTCTGGACCGAGAACCTGATTCGTCGTTACCTTGGCGACGGAGAGAGCAACTGCGGTAAAGTGTGATTTATAGTCGTCAGTCACGGCAGCGAGTCGCAAACGTTTACATCGTCACATGACAGAAAACTTTGTTTACATTACAAACTCGTTCACAGTGAATCCATCAGTCTGTTTAACTTTTGTAACAAAAATGTAACAAAAATGTAACAAAAATGTAACAAAAATGTAACAAATTTGTAACGTTCGTCCCTCGACTGTTGAACAGGATGTGAAACAAACATGGAAACAAAGTTCAGTCTTAAAGTCCAGAAACTTGTGAACGGAGATGAAACATCATTTAGTGAGAGTTTAATACTTTTCTGTCTTACTGGCTGCAGAGCTGTGGCGGGGCGTGGCCTGAGCAGCATCCCCAATCGCGCCTCGCTGGCTTCAAACAGAAAGAACTGGGTCCTGTTGTTGTTGTAGCCGAAACGCTGCAGCTGCGTGTAAGTCGACAGCCGCACAGCGGTGCTGAAACCCGGGACTGGGGCGTGACAGACCCGCCCACGTGTTCGCACTTTTCACGACACGGCTGTCGACTTACACGCAGCTGCAGCTTTGCAGCAGATGCGCATATTATTAATGTAACTGCAGCGAATTTGTTTGTTCTGCTGTGAAAGTGATTCTGATGTTAAACATGAGCTCCGCCTGGTAACTGTGCGCCACACCGTGTTAGTGACATCACTGATTCATCATCACCTTTATTTATAAAACACTTTAAACCACAGCTGAGTGCTGTACACTGGAACTATATAATAAAATAAGAAACAGCAGCGGCGTGATCAGAGAAGGAAACAGATTTGATGGTAAACGGGTCTCTGAGGTCACGGAGGGAGAGAGAGCTCTTTTTATTCAAACTAACATTGATTTGATTAAAGCCTCCAAACGAGCAGTGAAGCCTGTGCGCGCCTGTAAACGCGCCTGTAAACGCGCCTGTAAACGCGCCTGTAAACGCGCCTGTAAACGCACCTGTACGCATCACAGCAAACAGTCAGGTGACGTTCCACACGTTGTGCTCCTCTGACAGAGTGGAGGGTCCTGTACGTCATCCTGACCAGCTTCGTGCTCGTCGTGCTCATCCTGTCGCTCGGCTGGACGTTCATCTGCTGCTGTAAGAGGTGAGGACGCTGCTGCAGGTGATAGACTGATCCCAGGTGTGTCTCTGTGTGTGAACTGGTCTCTGCTGCTTCCAGGAGACGACAGACCAAAGCGAGGAAGAAAACCAAATACACCATTTTGGACAACATGGACGAGCAGGAGAGGGTGGAGCTCCGCCCCAAATTCAGTGAGTCACATTGCCATAATCCGGGTCGGTCTGCGGCGGCGTTCTTGTTGGTTCCTGAAGTCGTTTCACTGCGGCTCAGTTAGTCGTCACCTTGGAGGCGGTCCTGCGGGGTCGCTGATTCACTCTGCAGCTGTCACGTGACCAGGGTGTGGCTCACCGCTGTTGTCCTTTCCCAGGTGATCCATGCGTTCTCCCACCTTGGGTCATGTGACTGAGTGCAGCGACCCCCGGGACCTCAGGTAAGAGCGGAGTCGTCTTCATGAACCAAAACGAAGCCGCTTCCTGACTGTTCCCACGTTCCTGGGAACGTCCCGCTGTTCTTTAGAGCAGACGTTTCCCCGGAGCGGCGGGAGGCCGTCCTCCATCTTTATTCAATAACTGAGACTTAAAGCGGTGACCCCCGCTGACCTTTCCCCTGTGCAGGTATCAAGCACCGCAGCACGGAGCACAACTCCAGCCTCATGATGTCCGAGTCGGAGCTGGACAGCGACCAGGACACCATCTTCAGCCGCGACCGGCCGGTCCGCAGCAGGAACCGCATCAGCACCGCGGCCGCCCGCAACGGCGACGCCTTCGGATGACGGGGCGGCCGACCTCTCGCAGACGCAGGATGGTGCATTCTGGGACGTGTATGAGGGACCACATTACCCAGAATTCCAGAGAATGCTAACATGTCCCATTTCAAAGGACGCGAGGAACTCGAGACCTGGAGGATGGACGCGTGTCTGCTCGGACAGATAAGAGCGAGAGGGCGGGGCACGTCAGGCATCGCATCACACCACCGCCATGTGCCCGATTCACAGCTGTGAGCTCGTTAGCTAACAGAGCGCTCACCAGGAAACACGGCAGAGTCAGCTGACGACGGCGTCCGATCCCAGCGACGGGAAAGAAGCCCGGGTCACAGACGCCGTCCGCCAGGTTCAACTTCATCAACGTTTGTTGGCTAACGAGAAGCAGCGTGAATCTGTGACGAAGGACGTGAAACACCAACACAGCTCGAAGTTACACAAACTCGTCTTTAATGTGGTCAGAATACAAAATACACACGTGAACTTTGACCCCATCAGCTACAGTTACAGAGACAAACATTCAGGTATTAAACTGCTACGAGAACGCTTCACAGGTAGACGAGTCGACAGGTTTGCACCCGTTCATGTTTCCATGGCTCGACGCGGCGCCCGGCTGTCGCTCTGTCGGCGCGTCGCTCATCACGTGCACAATTAGGAATGAATCAAGTTTCACGATTCAGGAGGATTCGTGCTGGAAGCTTTATGGACGCTCGCTGAAGAAAATAATGTTTAAAACAGGTTTCATCACATTTATTCATTTTCAGTGGTCCAATGTGGCGGTTTGTTAGCCCCTCCCCTTCAGTTTACAATCCCTTAACACTGATAGCAAAACCAGCCAATCACAGCAGACAGGGCAGATAAACAGACTGAGTAGCGCCTCCTACTGGTGAGTTTGGGCGGTTCAGATAAGTTTAAACGCCCGTGTGGCGAGCGACTGGTTCGTGTGCTGCAGGGAGGCGGCGCTCTGACGGCGAGGCTGAATTACTTCGTAATGGTGAACTTTTGTGCTTTTCACGTAACTTTGTTTCGTGTTTAGTTTGGTGGGCGGGACCATCGTGTAATATGACAAGCATAAGCAGCCAATCAGAAGCGAGGAGTGACAGCTGATTCACAGTCCTGGTTGGACGTTTTTTAACCTGCATGAATTCAAACTTTATTGAAGGAGTTATCACGTGTTAATAAAAGAATCCGACGCCTCCACTGAGTCGCAGCTTTCGTCCCGCCTCCTCTTCCTCCTCTTCCTCCTCACGGTTTGAGGCCTCCAAAGCACACGTACTTCACTTCCAGGTACTCGTCGACGCCGTACTTGGAGCCCTCGCGGCCCAAGCCGGATTCCTTCACCCCACCAAACGCGGCCTCTGCCGTGGACACCAGCCCCTCATTGACGCCGACCATCCCCACCTCCAACGCCTCCGCCACCCGCCAGATCTGACTCACATCCTGTGAGTAGAAGTAGCCTGAGAACAAAGGAGGAGGTTAGAACTACGAGGCACCGCCACGTGAACCTTTCTTCTCCAGGGTCAGACGTTAAAGTCGGCCACGCTGGAATCGAGACGAGACGTCGCTAAACTGATTTCCTGTCACACTTCCTGGTTTGTCCATACGGGGCGGGGAAAAAGCATAATGAGGCTAATTCACAGCTCTGAGTGCTCAGAAACCGACACGTCTGTGACGATGCACGATCAGCGATCTGCAGTCTAGGAACCAATCGGCTGCATGCACGCAGGTGCACTCACCTGCCAGCCCGACGCTGGTCGCGTTAGCAATAGCCAGAGCCTCCTCCTCCGTGTTAAACCTGCAGATCAGACACAGGCGAGCTCAGACGGCGTCACAATAAACGAGAATCTGCGTCTAGCCGGGATTAACCCCGCCTCGATCATCTGTGTGGACTCGCCTGATGACGGGCACGAGCGGCCCAAAGGTTTCCTCCTTCGTGCACAGCATGTCGGCGGTGACGTCGGCCAGCAGAGTCGGCTCCATGAAGGAGCCATCGAGGCGCTTCCCGCCTTTTACCACCTTCGCCCCGCGGGACACGGCGTCTGAAATCTGATGTAGCACCTGGGGGGCAGAGATGGCGTTCAGCGGCGTGCTGGTGCGGTCTTTAAACAAACTTCAGTCATTTATCGTCGGCAGTAATGTGTCATGTAATTAATATATCCTAATATCCTTATTTTCTTATATTGTTTTATGTATTTTAATAATGAAGGTTTGTAGACGAGGCCACAGACTGAAACAGGAAGTGTGGAGCTGCACAGCATTAATAAAACAGGAAGTCCGACAGAAAAGAGGAACTATGAGCAACGTTTGTATTGAAGCTGTGACGTGTAAAGTACCAGAATAACACCTGTATGAGACACAGGTGTTATTCTAATGTTAGAGATCCTGTAACTGGCGTCTGGGCTGTGCAGCTCTCTGATTGGATAAAATAAATAAATGTTGTAACACTGAGTCGTTTCCTCTGTTCTGTCACGGGGACGAAAGAAACGGCGTTTACCTTCTCTGCGGCGCGGGCGTTGATGAGCGGCCCCTGCGTGGTGTCGGGCTCCGAGCCGTGACCCAGACGCAGCTCGGCATCCATCGCTCGCCCCAACTTTTCCACGAAGCGGTCGTAGACGGCGCTCTGGACCAGAAACCGGTTCGAGCACACGCACGTCTGCAGGAAGAAGAAGCGTTAGTGTGCACAATGGTGGCGTTCAGCAGGTCAGCAGGAGATGCCCTCACCTGGCCTGAGTTCCTGAACTTGGATGCCATGGCTCCGCCCACCGCTTTGTCAAGGTCTGCGCTGTCAAACACAATGAAGGGGGCGTGGCCACCCAGTTCCATAGATGCCTTCTTCACGGTGTCAGCGGCCATTTTCAGCAACACCTGCAACC